TTTTTTGGTGATACTTCTGCTTTCTTAATTTTATTCTACTTAGACCAGTCATTCCTATTGGCAGTGCAATCTTTCCTGAGAACTTGTCCTCCTTATTTTAATCTAATACTGTTCCAACTGTGCATTAATCAAGCTTTAAAAAATGATCAAAGAACTCTAATTAGCAATTCGCTCCTTGAGGTAAATTTTGTTAATATCAGACAGACATGAACTGAACTGACAGTCCACATTGTAACTGACCTTATAATTTCGACATTAAGAGCAAGCTATGAATTATATAACACTATAATTACCATTAAATACTTCTACTACTATAAATGTACAACTACTGTTAATACTATTAACATACCTATCCAAAAATTCCAAGCATCAAGCATTTTTGCTCAGTCGGCGAGTACTATGCAAATAATCTCAGTTAATTATTCCAGAATAAGGAAAACAATCTGATCAAAGTACTCAATTAATATTTCAATCTCCAACATTTCTATGAATTATTTTAAAATTTTAATTCGGTTTTCATATTTTTGTCGGAGCTTATACTATATTTTATTTACAACTTTTAGGGAAGCTGAAGTAATGCTGCTTCATTGCACAAAAAATTATTTTCAGACAACGGAAATTTTCCTCTAGCATTGATTACAAATTCTGTAAGAATTGATTTTTTTTGAAGTCTCAGGGGCATAATTGCGCATTTAGAATAACCAGCGCTAGAAAGCGTTGTCCAAATGTATTATTTAATAATCGAAAGGTGTACCTAAAGTCATTCGATATGAGTAAAAAATTTGTTTCACCTAACTTTCTTTTAAATTTTGTTTCCAAAGCACATCTCGTCGAAAGATTAAAAATAGTATTTTGAATAATAAACATGTAAAATATTCTGACTTTTTGCATTCGTGTAGTTATTTAAATATCACCGATAATTGTTGCAGATATTGATATAAAATAAAAATTAATATAGAATTTCTTGGTCTGGTTGATATTTTAAAAATGATAATAGTGTTTACATCAACTCATTCGAGGTGTCGCTGGAAGTTAACAGCAAGCTCATAGTGTGCTGGCTGGAATAAGTGCAATTGATTTAAAAAAAATTATATATGAAAAACCATCGTGTCAGTGGAAATTTATCTTATTTTCATGAAAACATTAATATAGCCCTTGATTTATATTAACAGTTAAAATTAGGACTAATAAAATTATATGTCTTTATCATTCCATATTTACAAATACGTCTCGTAATTTTACATCTAACAATCAAAAATCGATACAGAAAGTATTCAAACGATTTTTTAACATTTCTCAGTTATGCCAGCATTTAGTCGTTTCCATCAATCAACGTCCTTGGAGTTGTGATCATCATTCTTTCCCCAAAATATCCCCAGCTCCAGACACTAATTTATTCGTATACATTATTAATGGCTGATCGAGCGACGCAGGCGGCGTGTGGTCAGGCTCAGGCATAATGCACATAATTTCCGGTGTTTGTGATATCGAAAGAAGTCCATAAATTACGTGCGTTGGATAAGAGGCGACCACGGTGTTGGCAGCGACAGCTCACAAACATAAGAGATAAGCCGTGATGGTGAGCGGGTGGTGATCGGTGATAAATAGTGCATTTGCCGGAGATGAGTGTGTTCGCAGTTTACTGGAATCCATAAAAATTTAAAGCTAAGGAAGGAAACGACGCTGAAGTACGAGATGAATGCGTGGGCACACATATTAATACTGAGAATGCATCTTTCATAAACGCCTTGAGTAGATCATTGAGAGAAAGGGATATTTTAAGTCATTATGATATTCAAGGAATTACTTGATGGATCTACCTCAGTATGAAGTGTAAAATATCGATGATATTTAAATGGGAGTTTTTGGGGAAGATAACAAGAAGTTTATTAAAAATTAATTAATTACAAGTCAATAGCATGAAGCACTTTTTCTGTATTTCCCAAGGAAATTTTTAATTTCACATGCCAATAATTTATATGCAAACTCAAAAGAATCGAATCATGCCACTAATACTTATGGCTATAGATTTTACCAGAGCTGTCAGTGCTCCATGAAGGATATCCTAAATACATGACTGAATAAATACGTGATTTTGCACACAGACTTGCTTTTACGGTTTACTTGTTTCAATTACTCAATATGGGGGGAGAGGGCACACACTGACAAGCACTGAATAATTTCAGGCTGGGTTATGAATAAACTATTCATCTGGTATTATACATAATAAATCATTTTTACCAACTCGTACCAAACACAGTGATTTTCTTTGATCCATGATTGCTATAATGGCTAAATAATATCATTAAGTAATTAAATATACATATATAGCTTTATTGAAGCAAGAGCAAATGGTGTATATCTGCGAGTGACGGTAAACAAACCGTATTGAAAGAATTGATCGATCTGAGCGGGTATATTCTAAATGACGCATTTTGGTCATCAATATAAGTTTAAAGGCACTTCGGGAAATATTCGGTGACCTCAACTCAGAAGCTAAGATATTTCTTTTTGCAATCATAATGATGCATGTCAGCATGATCACTCATTTAATAGTTGGAAGAATTACGTATCCTTTCAAAATGTATTTTTGCCCAAATACAATTATTAGGTAGGAAATAAAGATGTTAGTGCAACAAACTTGTAGTCATGTGAAAAGAGGAACATAGGGTTTAAAAAATTAAATAGCTTCTTTTAAATAAATATCATTACATTATATAAATTTTATATGCATGATTATTCGGGCTGTCATAATCACCTACCCATAACCTTATGTTCCTGTGACTTTAAAACGATCAAGTCCAACCTCAGCGCCGGGGTTTTGAGGCTGCCCCAGAATATACGTTGTTCGTTATGCGAGTTTTCCCGTCGGAGAATTTTTTACTGTAAACATTTTCTGGCTCAGTGAAAGCTAAGATGAAAAACAAACACTTGCAGTGACGCCATAAGCTTTCTTGGCTCTTCGGGAAGCCAGGCCGTAAATCATGTGGTTATAATAATAATTCTGTTTTCATGCGCTAAACTTTAAGTCCACCATAAGATAAATGCTCAAGTAAAAATATTTTAGAAACCACATTCCTAGAAAATTAATTGTTGGTCACAATATTTAAAAATTCATACATTAATGATAATATAAGCCAATTTGTAAATAAATAATTATCAATAACCATAAATAATGTTTCGCATTAATATTTCGATGTAATAAAATGGAGGGAGCCAAGAAATGTCTAGCATCTACGCATTTCTGCGAATTTCACGCCGAAATTATTTCACGCTATTCGATCTAAGTGATCCCAAGTGTGAGATCACTGGTAACCACGAAAATTTTTTCGTGGACGCTCAATTATGACTAAGTTTCATTGATCGTTTTTGGTAAATTTGACAAAAAGTATCATTTAGAATCATTAATCTGCTTCGGCTATGCTCGTGGATTACATTCGTGCAAACTTAAATGCCTGATTTATATGAAAGTGGTCATTAGAAATTCACAAGCGAGCTAAAGAATGAAGTTATTGAATAAATAATCGAAGGCTGAGTTCCTCGAACGCTTGCATTTTCTTTTACCGCCATTTTTGGCGGTAATAGGTGCTTCGACTCCATGATTTTATTTAGATTAATAATATTCTGCTATATTTTGCTTATACCTGGTTGATTAATTGCTTAAGTTATGCATGACCAAAATGATGTTTCTCGCGCTAATATGAAACAGATGAAGTTTTGACATCACGATAACGAGGAAATTTGGGATACAGACAAAACATTTTATGTTAATTCCACTTCATTAAGAAAGACAGTTTAATTTGCGTATTGCTTTACCGTTTCTATAAGAAGCACATCATTCACTTATTTTAGTAGGACTAGGTAGGAAAAAAGATAGTGGTCGCAAGTCTAATCATGCATTTTTGCTAATAAAATATTTAGTCATCAACCCCAATAAATTCAAGAACGTTGCCCGATAGTTAACACTATCAGTAAAGAGGTCATTTTCTGACTAATGAAAAGGCTGCGGGAGCAGAAAAATTTCCCAGCCGAGAAAATTCAAGATTCGTAGTGAGCGAAAAAATTAGGACGAAAAGCACTCCTATTCACAATTATAATCCCGGGACTGAGCGTTATGCTATCAAGGCTGAAGGAATTCGCCAAATCTGTTCTCGGTAAACCTACGTGAGCGAGATCGGACTTTGGTTAAGAAGCTTACGAAAGATTTTCAGGTTCTTTGGGGCGGAATTGAGCGTGGGATTGAGTCTGCCTAGAGATTACTCGTTCCTTCTTTCATTAGCAGGATGAATGAGAGAGTATTAGTCCCCTCACGTCCAATTTGAGGCTCTATGACTTGACGGAAGAATTCAAAATGCATTTGAAGTTTGATGGTATGCTCGAGAGAAACTCGCATGTTTCATTCGGGGAGGAAATGAGCTCGAGGGGCCTCATTTCCGTGCTCGTTTTCGGCAGTAAGCGTTGGTGTCATAATCTAATGCGTAATCATGGATCATATTTGCTACTCATTAATCACCTACCGTCGATACCGGTGGCTCTCATGTTTGTACGTATTCCATGTTGATTGAAACAGAATTCATTTTATAATAAGAATGGATCCTTTTCTAGTTATACCTAATTATGATATGAATAATCATACATTTCACTCTGACCTTTTCCATAGAACATTGTTTAAAGGAAAATTGATTCAAACTTTCCCAAGTGCCATTAAGTGAATAACAAATGATATGTTATTGTTTCAGAAAACAGGGCTCCATGGAAAAGTGTAATCATTCTCGCTAAAAGTTCCAACAAGTGAGTTTACACGCTGATATCTATTTTTGTATGAAACATCTGTAACGAATTTTTAGTATTACTTGAATGAGAAAGTTTGGAAATGTTTTTTTCAACAGGAGTCGATAAAACTTGAATGAGATTCTACAATAAATTTAAACACATCTACTAACAAAAATTTTAATGATATATTTACCTTGATGGATGAATGTTCGACTTTTTTAGTTCACTCTTTTCGGAATTTCTTTATCCAAACCACCTTCCAAATGAAGCCCGTGACAGCTAAACTATCTATTACATTCCAATAAAGAAGGAGCCTGCATGAACAAGGCAGGCAAACTAGTGGACAAAGCTTGCCAGACTCCAGCTTCCTATTGTCACCGCCATGGAGGTTGTGGACAGAGCCGCTGTGATAGAAAATTTCGAAGCGATCCCTTCGTTTGAAGGCAGCCTCACTCCACGCTTCAACTTTTCGGCGGACACTTTCCATGCAATTATTCACGCGTCTAAAAGAGAAAGATACATCTCTCCTGCTGCAGAAACTGCCTTCGTAGTGTGCTATGTGTTGATTATACTGGCTGGGGTCATTGGGAACGTCCTAGTGGGTTATGTGATATGGAGAAAGAAAACTATGAGAACTCCACGGAACCTATACATAATCAACTTAACTTGTTCAGATTTGAGCATGTGCATATATTGCATGCCGTTTACTCTGGTCCAACTACTAAATAAAGATTTTAACCTCGGGCCTGTCATCTGCAAGCTCATGCAAGTGGTTCAAGGCACTAATATTATGGTGTCCATCTCAACAATAGTCGCCATAGCAGCTGACCGATACGCCGCAATTGTGGTTGGCCTCACAGAGCGGAGTCACTGGTATGTCGGATGGTCCTTGGCGGTGATCTGGACCATATCTATTGTGTCGTCACTCCCTCTGTTCTCGTGGTACGAAGTGGTTCCAGTGAAGTTTTACCAAATTCTTCTCTACAAGCGATGCGTGATTACTTGGCCATCCGCTCAAGTGAAGTATGCATACATCGTCATTCTGATGATCATGATGTACGTCATACCGATAATTGTGCTAAGCATCATCCATGGTTCGATTAGGAGGTACTTGAGCCGCCACATGGTGAATCAACATGACTCAAGACGTGCACAGAAGGAAATAGATAGAAATAGGAAAACAACGATGCTTCTGACGGCCATCGCTGTGGCTTTTGGAGTGAGCTGGCTTCCCTGGCAGATCGTAAATCTCATGGCCGACTTTAATTACTCAGGCTTCCAAGATTCCGAAACTTTTTACACGGTGTTTGGATCATGTCACCTTCTCGCGATGAGTACGGCTTGTACTAACCCCATTCTTTATGGATGGCTAAACACAAATCTACGACGAGAATTACTGGAATTTTTACCGTTGATCGCCAGGAAATTAAGCCTGAGAAGAGCTTGGTCACTCGAGAATACTACGAAACAAGAACAAGGCGATTCCCCCACCCGGGCGGTCGAAAGTGTTACCTATTCAACCGTCGTCTTCAATGCCAAAAACAGTCCTCGAGTGTTGACTAGAACGATGTCTCCAGTTTCCCCAGAAGTAAACCAGACAAGTCCACTGGGCCGGAAATATTCCAAGAGATCTACGCCGTCCCCCACAGAACAGATGGTTTTATTGACCCTAAAAGAAGTGTCGCCCAGAAAATCTTCCACACACACCATTGCTTCCAGAGACGTGTCCCTCAGGACTCCCCAAGACATCCCTCGCAGCGACCAGCTATTGGAAGGATTCCAGCCTAAAAGCTGGTGAGAATTACCTACTGTATTCAAAATGTATTCGAATGGAATATTTTTCATTAATGATTTTTGGAAGTGATTCAAATTGATGGTGAGGTTTTCTGAATAAAACACGGTCATAAAACTGTGTTTCATGAAAAACGGTCTTGTCATAGCCTTGAATGACGACTCATAATAATACGAAAATAACGAAAACTCATAATTTCAATGAAGAAGCATTTTATAACTACTTGAAAATATTCTATGTTCATGAGAGTTTTTTTTAATTTTTCAATTATTCATAAATGTAAGCTGGATTTAATAGTTTCATCACGTGCTAACAGTTTTTTTCTCATCGACAGCGACGCTTGAGAACAACAAGCACCTCCGAGTCTCCTACCTCCATGTGATGTACTATCTCTTATCGAAAAGCGTTTAGGCGGTGATGGGTTACATCACATTCGTAAATAACATATGCTTCCGACTCACGAAAAGGATCTTGTATATAAGGTTACAGTAGATCGAAGGCGTTATTTAGTGTACAACATATAGTCAGCGTTTATATATGAATAATACCATATATTTATTATTATGTATGGAGAAAATATAATATAAATGTTCAATATGTATGCGTCTGTATCATAAAACAGGGCACGCTGATAACTTACTGCTAATTGAATTATACTTCCCGTTATAATTTTTTTATTTTCTTTCGATAGCCTTCGTATACTTCATGACTGAATTCATTTTAAATTTTCCCTCTTGCCTTTATGTCACGTTTTTAAATTCAAAAAGATATTTGTATTTCTTAAATCTGAATCACTGAATTCGTCTATTGGCAATCATTCAACTCACATCTACAAGTCACAAAGTTTCGTCGTCATATGATGTACTTTTGTACAGAAGGTTTTTATACGAATTTACTAATAACTGATTTTATGGAACAGTGTGTACCTCGAATATTTCACGTTGAGTTTTAAGAGGAAGGTTCAGAGACATAAAAAACACGCATATGATGTTGTTTTTTGTCTCTGTAAGCCGCAATATCAGTTCATCAAAGAAATTATTTTTCATTTGAATTCAGCATCTCTAGTGAGTTTCGCCACATGCGCCCAAGCAGAACAATGAATCATTTTTATGAAGAATTTTGCGAACTATAATAAAAAATCGTCTGTTGATCTGACATCCCAGATCAATTTTTGTCTCAAAGTCGATATTTTGTTGACAGGCAAAGAGGTTGTTTTCTAGGTTGAAGTTAAGGAAACGAGCCCCTCCTTTGACTGCATCATGGAAAACTGACATCATTTGCCTATACGACATGTGGCCGCGTCATCATGACTGTGCGGGCGGCTGAATAATAGTTGATTTTTGATACGCTCTAACAAGTTGTTTACAGGTTTTCAGAACAGATACGACATTAACATTTATTCATATACAAAGTGATGCAAAACATTATGTTTCAGTGATGAAGCTTTGGTCTTTTGTAAAAATTTTGAATAAAATTCAGAAATTTATAATTATTCCAAAATCACAAACGTGTGATTTTGATTTCCCGTGTAAAGAGTAACGTAATAACATTCGCTGGTTCTTATTGATGGTCTCTTTTTTTACCATTGACATTCGGATTACTTGACTAATTAGCTACTAATTATTTGACTGATTATCTGTTGTCATTGGAATTTCAATTCATCGTTTATAATTTGATCTGCCTTGTGTACTTTTCCAACCGATAAGCGTAATCTTCAAGAAATGTAGAATAATTTCGTTGAGAAATATACTGACAGTGATTGGCTTGAGGAGAATTTGGGTCACCTTTGTATAGTGCGTACTATAAATCCATGAATTGATAACTCACAATAAGAAATATATTACTCAGAACAGAGTTTAGAGGATAATAAAATTGACTCGATGTGGAGGACCAAATATGTCAATAGCAATTCAGCAGCAATAGCCACATCGATTATGTTTATTATTTATAACTCAGCCTTTCTATAAACTAATGATTTTATGCTCCGAATTAGAGGAATTATCACACATAACTTTGCAATCATATTTCGTTACGCGCTATCTTATAAATATTGAACGAATCAATGGTTAAAATTAATTTAATGTTTCAAGCTAATTTTTTATCCAAATCACAATATTATGAAATTTATCCGTACTTCATGATTTTGCTTTTGAAATAAACGAATTTTTATACTTCAAAATAGATGATAATCATTCAACCAGTTTTCGGAATGGGTATAATATTGACCATCGATGTTAAATACATAGTCGTGCCTTTTGGCTGGGATTGTTTTGAAGATTTTATGTTTATTCCGACAGTTGAAAAAATTTTTACGATGAGCACAAGGCGAGGTGATTATCTTCTATTCTGACTATAAAATAATTCTGACTTAACCCGCAGTCACACTTACACCAGAATTAACTGCATAAATTTAGTTGAGAAAAACACTGTAATATTTGAACTTTACTTCGATTGTTTGCGAACAGTATTTTATGTAAACGTGACGGAATGAAGTTGACATCTTACAATGAATACATTCTGCATATTACACTGTGATAAAAAGGCTGTACATACTATACGGAATGATGTGTCATATATATTGTTGTCACTAATTAATCTTTGTCATTGTAGAATTGTCTGTGCGATTAAAATAGTGTATACGTCAATATTATCTGTACCATAAACGAAAAGACTCTCATTTGCCCTCACTTATAAAACCTCGACATTAGCAGAGAATGAATTAACACACGTTTGTTTGTGATGTTCGGACTCTGGGGCTGCAAATATACGAATATATTGGAGTTATTCGCGAGTAGATCCGTAATAAATACCTATATTGTTTTACCTTCATATGAAATTTTACTGCTAGTTATGGAGCAATGAGGTGTTAGCAAAATGGGACAATTGGGCTGAAATGAAAAATTGTGCTTTACTATGATTCCGTAGATTTGATACTGCGTATAAAAGTAGAAAAACAAAAGATTTTTCTGTAAACTTGGGGATTGGAATTTAATGGAAAATGTTTCTCTGATTAGATATCACTTTATTTCACATATTACAATCATAAAGGCAGGAGTTGTAGAACTCGTCTCTGCCGATAGTGACTCCAAGGTTTTAGCTTCAACTTCCGGTGTTTCTGATTTGCGCATATGCAGTTGCCAAACTGGGACATCACCTTGACCATTCTGCCTTGTTTCCTTTACCTTGCTCAGATGCTCTTGCTGGTCTTCGGTCACAATTTCTTCGTTTTTGGGAACTGAATTGGGTTACCACAGTGGCTACTGATGGAAGGGGCCACAATCTAGCTTCCATTCGGTCCGGGATGTCTCCTGTCCCATGGGTTGCTTGCCGTTCTCGTCGTGCAGCAGTGGTTTTAACCCGCCTTCGTCTTGGCCACGTTGTGGTTCGTTCTTATCTTCATCGATTTGGCATGGCTGACACTCCCATGTGCCTGCACTGTGGGGTTGAAGAGTCAATTGAACACTTCCTCATTTCATGTACACTATATGATCATGAGAGACAGGTGATGATATTAAGTGTGCATGCCCTGGGAGTCCCTCTCACATCTGTGCGTGTGCTCCTTGGTGGAGGAAACTATCCCAGAAGAGTTCAGCACCACATAATGCGAGCAACCACCACATACCTCATGCAAACCGGTCGATTATCTACTATGTAGCTGGTAAAATGCACTGGATTAAACTGCGATTTGCCCTAAACAAGAGAATTGTTGATAACAAGGAGAGCTCATGCCAGCAAAGAAGAAAATGAAATTAAGAGAAACACGCTGAAGACTTCAACTAAATAACTATTGCTGAGTCCAGGTGTTACAAGCGGTCAACGTGCGACTTCTTTTTCACCTACAACCCGCGACCACCACCACCTAATTTGCGCATTTTAGAATCTTTATATATTTTTAAACAGAGGCCAAGTATAAATTTAGCTTCTAGCTCTTGCCTGATTGAAATTGTAAATAGATAGGTTTTACCACTTAGGTTTCTTTTGTAATTTTACTGTACTAATTACTGATTTATCTGTGTTCTAGAACTTTCAAACTGACGATGGAGCTGAATTCCGAAACGTTTTTTAAAGATAGTATGAATTTTTGTGGTGTTTTCTTTGCTTTTAAGTTTTTAGCGAATTTGCGATTCAAGCAAACGAGTAACATTATTACAATAATTATTGCGTTGCCAGCCTTGCGTTGCTTGCGGTCCAAATTTCCATGCAATTCTAGTAGGTTTAGTTGCCTAAACTTTACTAGCGCTTTAGCTATATAACTGTCTCGCGTCAATAGGCAAGACGAATATCACCAATGAGATGAAAGGTCTGAATTATAGAAAATTTTCTCTAATCAAAAATCCGTTATCACGAATCCCGCATGAATACCTAAAGAAAAAACTTTATATCAATTAAGGAATCACTTTTTCAAAGCCACATTTGACATTGAAAACTTGACTTCGTATCAAAATATGAAAAACTGAAAATCTGGAAATATGAAAAACAAATTCATATGCCGATTTTATGGTACAGCGATTTATGGTACAGAGATATCAATCGCTGTACGGTACAGCGATTTGTAAATCAGGTGTTAATTTTTCATCTAAACTTTAAACTAATCTAATTAATCTAATGAAACTAATTACTAATCTTTTTTTACCCTAATATTTTTCATCTAAACTTTTTGAACTTCCATAATGCAATGTCATATTTTTCTGCTCCTAAGACTAAATTCCCAGGTTAGATTAGTCGGCCGATTAAAGGATTTAGCAGTATTAAAGGATTTGTCAGCATGGCATCCTAAATGGATGGGTCTGCTGTCAGATCATAATGAACAAAACTTAGGAGGACAATGTTATTTATTGATACGAAAGCAAAAAAAAAATACCAGTCAAACGTGGCTTAGAGTTTTTCTTATTTAGAGGAAATTTCAAGATGACAAGGATTGAAAAAAATACCAGTCAAACATGGCTTACAGTTTTTATTGTTTAATGGAAAATTCAAGATGACAAGGATTAAAAAAAATACCAGTCAAACATGGCTTAGAGTTTTTCTTATTTAGAGGAAATTTTAAGATGACAAGGATTCCATCAACCCTGAAGTTTGCTCTTTGCTGCATCTGAAATTGCGGTATCGACTCCACTCCACTGCTGGTGAAGAGGCAACGGTGCCGCGTCTGCCCAACCCACAAATACGGAAGAATTGAAAACGGTGGTTTAAACAATTCACTAAAAATGCTCGGAAGTTAGAAAGTGCTCGAGGTGGTAAATGGCCTTTTAATAAGGTTGAGAAATTTTCGCATCATAGCGGAAAATACACCAAGCTGGTGAATATAAGTTAACACACGTTTTACTCGGGATAAAATTCATATTATTTGAAAAAAGATCTCCCTAGAAATAAATTCGAGGTATC